CAATGAGTATATGGTAATCTGTTGAATATAATAACCCTAAGATTAAATTCAACACTAAAAGTGCAATGAAAAGACACAAATGTGAGTCATTTTATTGGCAATAAATAAAGGGGAAAAATAAAAGGAAATTGTGTTCATATCCTGTTCCCACCACAAGCTATGCAACGCTGTGCAAGGCACAACATACTCTCAAACTCAGTTTTACCATCTGTAAAAATGGGTGTCATAATTACTCTTGCAAATGAGAATTATCATTTATCAAAGATCCATATTTTATACAAGAAAACTATTTCCTAAGAGTTTTTATCCGACATAGCCATAGCTTTAAAATATGTTGCTAGGTAACGCTTCACAAATGACTTAAATAAAGGATTTCATGGGAAGGAACCAAAATACATTTTTAAGAATCCTGAGGTATTCAATATTTAAGTCCCTATGACTGCTATAGCCTTGGGTATGTCACAATTTATGGTGATAAGGTATTTCCTAACTGCTTCATTGTAGTTACTGTCATATCCTGAAAGGACTAATAATAGAAAATAAGGTCCTTTAAAGAATTATGTTTACCTATGGAAATAAGCATGTATTATGTGAAATAGCTAAGCATCCCAGATAACCTCTATACACTGGCCAGAAATGGTTCTTATAGATTCTCATACAATGGCAAAAATAAGATTGGTAAACCTGAGTCCTATTTTCATTTCTACCAATGGAAAAACCAGGAGCACTTGGGCAAGCCAATTAACTCTTTGGGCCAGAATTAACTCATCTATAAAAGAAGATATTGGGAGTTGACACTGTTTAACGTTCTTTTACATTTTAAAAGCACACCCATGCCAAATGTTTGGGGAAATAAAACCTTTGTATAACAGTTCAGTGCAACCCTGTCAACTTCGAGACAGTGCTTGTTAAAAACCAAAAGCTAATACAGATTGGGGAGGGGTGGGGGAAGAGCAAAAAACAGAAAGTGCTGAAGAATCTTTCAACATTGCCATGGCTGGCTATAACTATGAGATATGCGTGTACCCAATATAACAGCATCTCCTTTAACAGAGCTGCTCCGCGTATGGTTGTGACTATCAGCGGTTTGAAGGAGGAAAGTAAAACGAAGAGAGCAGGCCCCTCTGGCTTCCTCCAGAGTTGGGTCTCTAGTGACAAGAAGCTTCTCATAATTCTGCTTAGAATTAAAACAGTAACAAATATAAATGAAAGTTCCAAATATGAAAGTACTGGATCATATAGGATAAAAACTACTTGAGCTATAATTTTAAAATAGAAAAGATACAAATCATGTAATCAACAGCAAAATAATGCTACATTTACCAAATGAAATGTTGGGTGGTATTAACGTTGATTTAGAAAAATGTTCAATGACATGTTAATTCAGAGTACACAACTGTGCATAGGGCATGATCCCAAATGGGGTCTGCTTGTGTGGAGAAGAAGCCTGAAAAGAATTTCACCAAAATGTAAATTTTTAAAAGGTTATGTGGTGAGATTACATGAGTTTTTACATCCTTCTAAAAAAATGCCCTGTCATTTTTCACAAATTCTACTGTTTTATAATTTTTAAGTGTTCCCTTTTAAAAAAATATTTTTAAATCTATAATTTCAGAATTTATAGAAAGTCATTAAAATTATACTATTTCACTAATTTTTGAAAATAAATGTTTTATTATGTTTGCATTGGACTTAAGAAAACAATTTAATATCTGTCATTTTCTAATGGCTTATAAATATATGTGTCCAAACTACTGTATATATTTTTCATAAAACATTCATATTATAAAATGTCAGGACCAAGAGAATATAAAGAGCATAAACAGAATACCAAATAATGTTTTCTTAATTTTAGGTACCAGCTATATCTAAAATATTATGCAAATATGTTCAAAATTAAAATCAATCTTTCAATACCTATACTACAAAATTACTTGGCAAGCTCTAGAATGATGGCCAGTATCATTAATAAACTCATGTCTGTGTTAATGAAAAGTTTTTTTTTTAATTAGTTCAGATATATGTCTATATAGATAAGACATTTAAAATCTTCACTATGTAAATTTTGATGATTTACTGAGCAAAAATGATTTAATTATAAACTCTTTTGATGACTCAGATTCCAGTAAAACCAATAAAAAATATATTTCTGATAAACAGCATTATGACTTTTGAGGTAAGTGCCAGAAGAATAAAATGTTTAATATTGATAAGTTCCTTTTAGGACAAGAAATTACCTACAGGGTCCAACAGAAGTAACGCCTGCTTTAGTGTGGTTGGGAGGGTAATAATATGGATGTAATAACTTATAGCTTTAATTTGAACATTTCACATAAAATGTCATATGGTGTGCTTAAGTGTGATATTATTATGTTACAGAATTACATGCTTATGATTTTGTAATAAAAAAGGGCATTATTTGTGCTGGACCCTGTATTTTTCTTTAAAATTTTAAGCAAAAGTGTAATAAATTTTAATGATACTATAAATGGGAGAAAATTCTATCTGTATCATTTCATGAGCTGTATCTGTATCATTTCTTTTGTAAGAAGCTCATAATAAAGTCTTAGCTGTATATGTAAAAATTCTCTGGGTTGCATAATACTTGTTCTCCTTGTCACGTAAAATTGAAAAATAAACATGTGATGTTAAAGCAAATCAGATGTTGGAAAAAGTGCATTTTATTACCACATGTCAACACTGAATATATGAGGAAAATATACTAAAGTCAGTTATTCTGTGCATATATATGAACAGCATCCTCTTCTACCGATTAAGGCTGCTGGTACTAATGCTATGTATGAATTGTGATGCAGTTTTAACACTTCTTAGCTTACCAAGTCATAACACAAAAAGAAACAGACACCTGAACCAAAGTGTGCAGTCAAAATAGCATCAAGGTGTTTTAAAAAAGGGGAAATGTGTGTTAGTGGCATAAGCAGTATTGTGTATCTGTGTTAGGGATGAGCCTGCAAGAACACTGCTTTGTTAAGTGAGCAAGAAAGCCTTCCCTTTTGAATACAACAGAGTCCCACTACAAACCCCTTCAATCCATAAGCCCCATTCATCAAGTTTACTGCATTGCATAAATGGTAATCTTCAGGCTACAAGTCATGGGGACTTTTGTCACTGAAAATGTATTTTGTTTGGTGTTCTTGTTTTTATTTCCTGCAGTCAAGCCAACACATACACCCAGAATGTGTGTGTGTGTGTGGTATGTGTGTGTGCCTGTGCGTGTGTGTCTGTGTGTGTTGGTCTGTCCATAAAGTATCCAGCTGGGTACCATGCAAAGTATCTGGACAGACTTTGTAAGCTATATATATGTGAATGTGTGTGCCTGTGCATCTTTAAGATTATTCACCATTACAGACTTCAGAAACATCATTTCTCTAAATCAGCACCCATTGGTGGGACTCAACTATATAGTTTTCACAGCTGAAAGGGATTTTATTTTTAATAATCCCCCTTTGAGGGATCAATTGCACACCTGTGTTTTCTCTATATTCTATCCTCAGCATCCAGCAAAGTGCCTGCCACATACTAGATGTTCAATACATAGCAATAAAATATAATCGTTGACTCTTGAAACTCTAAGGTGAATGTTCCATTTATATGTCATAATACCTCTATACCTGAGACATAACAAATAGAATCAGTAAAGAAGCATTTATTTTAAGCAGAACAAGGTAAACCATGTTTTCAACATACAAAAATTTGACCACTACTTCTTAAATCCAAATAAGTAAACAGAAAACATGTTAACACATCTTCTGGCTAAAATTTTGATTAGGAAAAAGTAGGAAAATTTAGTGTTACCCCCACAGCAACTACACCCTGGCAACAGATACATTAAATATGTGCGAACATTAGACATAATTAAACCAAAGCATAACTTAAGAACTAAATTACAGTGGTTGTCAACATCGTAGGCCTAAATTTAGCAGCTTAGCACATTTAATCATAAATTGCAAACTAATTTATATTTTACTATCTTGATTTTAACAATTACTAGAAATCTAATACACACACAGACACACACATAATATGGGGAATTTTGCCAACAACACAAAAGAAGAAAAGGTAAGTAAAGCATTAGGAAAGTTGCTTCCTCGAGGTTTATGAAGAGTTTTATGAGACCCGACCTACTGAGAGTCCATCACAAATTTTAGTAACCCTTATTGAGTAAAGGATCCATCTGGCCAGGTCTGTTCTGCCTTAATCAATTATCCATATTTTAATGGTCTTTTTTACATTTCACTTCTACCATACTCAACTGAAAATCCTTTTAGGAAGTTGATAGAAGAGACAGAAAGCAAATTTAAATATTCTGGCTTCAATCCTTCGTTGACTTTGCCAACAAAAGTAGTGACTCCCTACACATCTCTAGTATCCTACCCAATGTCTGATATATAGCAGACAGGCAAAAATCAATTACAGGTAGGAAAACAGTGAGCCTGCTGTGGGTGTTCCAGGGTCACCGGCCCTCTTACAAGCTTCATTCAGCCTCTGCAAGAGCAAAAACGAGCATAGTAGTATCAAATTCATAAAATTACTATGAGCACTAAAAGTCTCGAGCATATGGTGAGCAATTAACTATTACATATTTTATTTTGAGCCTCAGTTTCCTTATAGGTTAAAGTTCAATAAACTCTAACCCAAAGAGTAGTAAGAATTAAGTAAGGACACATATTAAATCAGTTGGCGTAAATGCCAGACATAGAGTAGGTCCTCAATAAACTATAATTTCTTTCCTTGCTACCTTGCCTCTAAACTCCTATTTTAAGATCCAGGAGAAATTTACAATCAAATGTATTAGAAGATTAATGGTTGGTTGAAAGAATAAAAACCACAAACACAGCAATCTAATAAACTTCTATCATTTTTTCTGGCACCAATACCAGTTTCTCATGAAAGACTACAATTAGCATTTATAAATATATAAAATATGTCCTAGAAGAAATTCGATTAAGTCTTTTAAATTAGAACTCATTCAGTTTTACCTTTTCTTCTAGTTGGTCCTTCAAACTCTGGTATTTCAGCTTCAGTTTTCTGTTCTCATTTTCATTCTGCGTTAATTCCTCTGTCAGCCTGTCACACTGTGCTTTCAGCTTCTCCAGCTGACAAAGATGGACTTTAGCCGTATTCTTATCTTCTAAGCTTTCTGCCTGAGAAAAAGAGAAGGAGAAAAGCCAAACTGTATGCCAAAGAAATTACACATCATATCAGCAGGCAAATACTTCAAGATGTTGCTATCGCTAAGAGCCTGTGTACATACGCAGAACAAAAGAAATGCTCTTTGCATTTATTCAATTAATCCTTAGCACTCACTGGGCATTCACTAAGCAAAAGGTACTGTACTAGGTGCTGTCAGTAACAGATAGGAACAGTAAAAGAGACAAATGCCAAAATCAACTTCTGCAACAACGAAGGAGAAGTGTAGGGAGCGTATTGTGGCAACCCAAAGAGGGGACACTAACTCTGCTGAGAGGGGAAGGAGTTTAATTAGAGAAGTGTCCCAAAAGGACAGTACTATCAGATGACACCGACTGATCGCTTTTTTCATTTATAAAAGAAGCTTGATAACATTACCAATCAGCTACCTCCTCACTATTGTGAAAGAGGTGAGTACTTGTGTACAATGTAATTATTGGTACCACTCTTGTGGGGCTAAAAAGATTGTGAATTGTAGCAGCCAGGAAACTACACATAATATGAGAAAGCATTTACCAGTGATATTTCAGTATCAATACTAATAAAGTACCTGTTGTTGTTTTTTTAATCTTTAACTGGAATATAACCAGAATCAGCTTTTTAAAATTAGGAACAATATATTCCGGGCATGGAATTCAATAAAAACTTGCCATGTATGTGAACTGAAAGCCTTTTTAAAATAACAACAATGTAAACACTATGTCATGTGCTGCTCTAAGACCTTTCGTGTAGTTTTCCCTCGTTTCATCCTCACAACAACCCGACCAGGAGGTACTTTTTGGAAACTGTATGTACCTCCTCCATTAGTTAGGAAACACATGACTTGCCTAAGGGTAGTAGTGATTCAGCGCAAAGCCAGGACTTGAACTCAAGAATTCTCTCCAATATCCATGCTTTCACCTACTCTGCCACACTCCTTTTGAAAATGTACGTATACCAGTAAGCCAGCCGCACCTTGTAATGTTAACTGGTCACACTTTCCAGTTACTAATAGCCTGTAAATAACTACATACCTATTTACTTATAGTGCCTGAAATACATGTTTTTCTTTTTTAAGTTTATTATATGTTTTTAATCAGGTATATAGAAAAACAATGATTGAAAGCAGTTTCCTGAAAGAAGTTCTGTGAGTTTTAGACAAAATCCATATTCTATTCATCCCCCAAAATTCACCTAAAACTTGATGCCACTTGCAATTAACAAAGAAATTGATTTTTTTATTGATTGAGGAATCCTGTATTTATAACCCTAAAATATATTTACAGAATAAAGTCTCTCCTCGGGAACATTGGCCGGTCATGACTATAAGTTGCACTAGAATGCTTTGGCTTAGCTTCATGTCTTGTGAAAAGCGTAGGTAGAAAAGGCTCCCCCTCAAGACAGCGGTGAGCTGGAGCTGGTGCCCAGCAACTCTCCAGAACCAACTGTGCTCATCGCTTCCCGACTTGGTCCCTCTCCTGTGATGTCTTGCTTGATAACTTGAAATCAGCCAAAGTGGGCACTTCCACCACTGCACCTGGAGGACGCTACACATCGGGGTTCCTTCCCACCCCGGCCCCAGAGAGCCTACGTAAACATTTACCAGCACACCAATGACTAAGTTTGACAAAGAACTTTCTTCTTGTCGTGGTTTTATTATTACATTTACATTTCATTTCAGGGTTTACAAAATGATGTCACACACAAAAACCCTGTGATAAAGACATGATTGTTCTCATTTTATTAATTAGCTGCAAAGAGGTTAAATATCTCGACCAAAGTTACATGGCCAGTAAATGGCAAAAGTAGAGAACTCCAATCCTTGGTCTTTTAATTCCCATAAAAGGATCTACCAAATTATTTTTGTTGAAATCATAATGAAGTGATAATCCAATATCCTTCAAGTATTAATAGCAAAAAGCACTTCATTAAAATATTTTACATTTAAATTTAAAATAGGCATGAAACAGGTAATTCTTGATAGAGAAAAAAATACAATTTGTGCTATGAAAAATATGGGTGACATACCAGCACTTACTAAACTCAGAAAAAGTAATAAATTAAGGTACAGCTGCAAGATAAAATATAACATTTATAGAGCTACTGTCCAAAGCACTTTTGTGCATAATTCAGCATATTAAACATTCTGTGATGTCCATTGTTATCCATTCCTTTTAATTAAAACAAATAAGTAAAAAATATAAGATTATATTAATGAAATAGCATGCGGTAAGGACAGTTCCTTATATGTAACTTATTTTAACAGGAAAGTGCTAGGCTCTCACCACCTCTGGTTCTCTTTTTAAGCTCTTGTGTTGCTTTTATACCACACTAAAGAGTAGCTGTGACACCCCTCCAAAATCTCAGTCTAATCTAACAGTTTCAGCAGATCTACAGCGTACCTCTAAATTATATATTCTTTGCATACAGTAAATTTTCAAAGCTTATTGCCATCTCACTGTCCACGAACACAAGTACTTCCTAAAGAAAACAGGAGGAAATCAATTTTCCCACATTACTGGGAGAAACCCAAGCCAGAAAGATCACACAGCAATTCAGACGCAAATCCTCTGATTTCCAGCTTTTTAAATATTTCAACTAATGAATTTCTTCTGTATGTCTCAAACACTGCTAAGACAATACAAGAGGGCACAAAAATAGCTAAGACCTATTGCCTACCTGTGTGGAGACTTATGAACACTAAACCAACCATAACATAGGTCAGCCTAAATGTGCTTGGCTATTCTAAAGACACCACCAAAGAGCCATGGAACACAGAGGATCGGGCGATTCACTCCAACTTCAGTGAATCCACAGAGGAGATGAAAAACTAGTTGGGCCTTGGAAGACTAGGCAGCACCAGGGGACAGGACAACCCGGAAAGCACTACTTCCCAAGCCACCACCTAACAAGTCACTACATACCTCATGCAAAAACCCTGCTTTCCTTTGAGATTCACACAATTTCTCATCAACTCTCCCTTTCTTGCTGGCAACAGCTGACTGACCAATCACCTTTTCTGACGTGTGATCAACTAATGCCTGGACAATAGCATCATAAATTACCCAAATATCTATTCAACAAGCAAACATCCAAGTTCTATGACCTGTTCTACTCCAACCACTTCCACCCGCATCCCACAACAGCAAATCAACTGCGTCACCACACCTTGGGCCTTCACTCTGAAAATCTAAACTAAGACAAGCATTCCTGACCAAACCAGCAACTTCTTTTCACAGATTATCCCTCCATTCTCTCATTCCTTTGCCCACGATGCCTCCTCTTCAACGTTAACCATGGCACTATGCTCCCAGACTGGTCTCATGCAGTTTCTACCAGCCTTCGGCAGCAGTTTACGTCTCCGCCACTGAAGTGACTTACCGCACTACTGCTCAGCTCTCCTTCAGAGGGAGGAAAGAGGCTACTTAAGATTCACATCCATAGCCCCGGACTATCTCTATCAGCTTACTCAGTCTTACTGGTTTCTTTTAAAACCTCCAGAGGAAGATATGCCCTGTCTCCTGTCAATTGTTCTCTACTCTGTTTTGATCCAAACTCCTCACATCTCCTCATGGACCTTCTCCACCGATCTCTTGTGGTAATGAACTCATTTAGTTCTTCCTTCCAGGGGTGTCCAACTTGAGGGCTGCGGGCTGCATGCCACCCAAGATGACTGTGAATACAGTCCAACACAAAACTGTAAATTTACTTAAAACATTATGAGATTTTTTTGTGATTACATGTCACAATGTATTTAACATGTAGCCCAAAACAACTTCTTCTTCCAGTGGCCCAGAGACGCCAAAAGGTTGGATACCCCGTAGCTGCCACATCTGACACCCCTGACCATACCTCTCTTAAAATATCCTACCTGAGTTTCCAAGACACCATTTTCTTCTCGTTCTCCTCCTATATCTCATATGGTCCTTTATCCTTATTTGCCAAACCTCTTTCTCAACTCTACCCTTAAACATTGCTGTTCTGGGGTTTCCATCCTATTCTTTCTCTCTGCACAACTTCATCCAAATCCCATGATCCCTTCAACTACCATCAATGGGTTACTGGCTGCAAATAACTAACTTTAATCTCAACTTCCTCCCTAACACCTAACCCATTATGTACTAAACTGTTCTTCCTAGACTTTCATGGTTAGACTTAAGTTCCCTTTATCCTAACTCAACACACTAAAAAACTGAATTTGGCATTGTTCTCTCCAAAGCTCCTGTTTTATCCATATTATCTACCTTGACAGATAGCCTCATTATCCACCTAGTCACCCCAGCCTACCCCTAGTCATCCCTGATTATAAGCCCTTTTCAGTAGAGTGATGTGGTTAAGAAATAGGCACTTGACTACCTGGGTTCAAATCCTATCTCAACTACTTACCAGCTGTAAGATCTTGGGTGAGTTACTGAACTTCCCACGCCTCAGTTCCCTCAACAGTGAGAAAATAATACCATACAATCTGCCAGGATAATGTTAGTATTAAATGATTAATACATGTAAAATTTTATAGTAGTGACTGGCACAAAGTAAGTGCTAACACATGTAAAGTTTTTATAGTAATGACTGGCACAAAATAAGTGCTACATAAGTCTTCTACTGTTACTATTATTGTCAGAGCCAGTCAATTAACATTGAATCTCTATTTTCCTTAAGATCAGCTCTTCTTCATATCTCTAATTCTACTTTTGTTCATGTCCTCAACAACTCTGAAGGACTATTATGCCATATTTAATCAATTCTAAGACATATTTTTTCACCTTTTACCATTCCTGTCTTGTGATGTTATCTTATAGTTAATAGCATGTCATGTTTTCATAGGCAGCATTTTTTTTCTTAGTAGCATCTTACAACTAATGATATTTTTGGTAAAATGAAATATAGTAAAGGCCTCTTATCTACTCTCCCAGGCTTCATTCCACTCTGCCCACCCCAATTAATGACCCCAAATCCAAGACTGCCAGTAGCCTATGTAGGATTGGGGAAGAATTCATAACATAGCTGAGAGCTTTCTAAAACTATCAGCTATTTCAATACAATCAATCTTTCATCATAAGCATTTTATGATAGTTGTATTTCAAGGAATTTTGAAAAAATTATAATTAACTTTTGAAGATTTATCCATTTATTCACCTATTCATCAGATATTAACAAGGTTCCAGGAACTCTTCTAAGTATTTCAGATATAGCAGTAAACAAAACAGACTCAAATCCCTCGTAGAGTGTTCATTCTAATAAAGATTGATTAAAAAATAAATAATATGGCATCTATATGATGATAAGGGCTAAGGAGGGAAAAAAAAATGAAGCAGAAAAAAGGGATAGGTTTCTCATACTCCTGACAGTCATGTTATACAATTATTCTCCTGCATGGTTATAATACTAATACCATTCGACCTTGGAGACATTTCCCCAAATGCAAGATCTCAACTATGCATTTACCCAGGTGACTTTGATTTGGAAAAGAAGGAGTAAATCTCAAAAGCCTTGGGTTTACACAGCCCCTAAGCTGATCCGCTTTAGTTACCAAACTAATAAGGACTGTGGTTATAGCCTCTACAGCCTTGATAAGTCTTTGCATTTTATATTTTAGGAGGTCATAAATGTTGAATGAGGGCACATTTCAGGCCCACGACTTACTGCCACCTCTGCCGAATTTCCTAAACTCCCAAAATAGCTAAAGGTTCTTTTTAAAAGGCTTCAGTGCTCTGAAATAGGTGCTCCCTGGTGGCTGCTATAACTCATTTCCACCTGGCCGAACGGGCATGAATAACCCTCTTTATTGTTAGTTTTAGCTTCCCTCCAGTGCTTGGGAATACAGAATGATCTCTAAAAGTTTACACTTTATTAACTTCATGAGCCCCCAGAAGAATTCCTTCGATGTCATCAGGATAGTTCAACGCAGGTACCTTCAGTGTCCTGATGTGATTCTCCGCTTCACTCTTTTCTTTCTTGAAGTGCTTCATCAGCTCCTGGATATTTTGTTCGTGTTTAGTTTTCACACTCTGCAAGGATGATGTGAGATCTTCCAGCTCCCTCTGGTGAACATCTCGTTCTAGCTTTAACTGTGCGATGATTGTAGCCGTTTCTTCATCTCTAGATTCCGCCTGAGTCTTGAGGTCAGAAAGGTTCTTAAGCACCTCTTTTCTGGCTTTTTGTTCCTCAGCCAATTTATTGGCAAGATCTGCCCGGATGGCACTCAAGTCCTTGATGGCCTCTTGCATCTCAAGAAGTTGAGCTTTGTCCTTGGCCTGGCTCTTCTTTAGCTCTGCAATTTCTTCCTCCAGGTGAGCTTTGTCAACTTTCATCTGGCTTTGACTCTTACTCTGCTTCTGCAATTCAGTTTCTAGCCTATGGATGGTGTCCAGGTTACCCTTGACTTCCAATTCAAGGTCAGCTTGATGAGCCTTAATGTCGCTCAGTTTCTGCTCCTTACAGTGCAGCTCCTCCTCTTGAAGGGCACGCTTGGTTATGACCTCGTTCAATTCCTTTCGAAGATTCTCTATTTGTTGTAACGCTGCATAAAGCTGGCTTTTCAATTCATCCTTTTCTTTTAGGATCTATCGGATTAAAAATATAAAACAAACAGAAACATTACTATAAAAATTCACCTCAGACACTGCCTGAAAACAAAATAAAGTGTAATCCACAAAGAGAAGAAAACTTCATCAAATAATACTTGTACATGTTCAATTTTTTTAAAGAGAAATATTTTAGCCGGGAAAAAGAAAAACATAATTATCCTGAAGTAGCACCACACTGAAATATGTTCTAGATTTTCATCACCAAAACTTCCCAATGTTTGATCATATGTAATTATTTAAAAGTAAGATAAAATTGATCAAAAGAATAGGGAAAAGACTCTTATTATAATTTACCAGAGGTTTGACATAATATGTAGAATTTACTTAAATAACAATTATTTGCATTTCAATGCCACACTTTTAAAAATGAGAAACCTCAAAACAGATATGGAAGATAACACAGACACTATCTAAGAAAGGTAATGTCAGCAGTGACAAGAATCACAACCGTGTGTAACCGGGAGTCTTGAAGCCCCATTGAGGTAGAAATGAGATTGACTGAAGATTAGGAGAGGTTGGGAAGGAACTCCGGAAAAGTCAAGGGACCCTACGGCCATCACCTTCTGCCAGCCTCTTTAGGAGGGTAGGGTTTACACTGGGGGACAGAGACCAAGAACTGACAACCCTCTTATCCTCACCAATCCTTGATGCAAATTAAAAAGCAAGCAGCTAAGGAAGTAGAAATTGCCACACATACACCCCCAACTCTGGCACCAAAGACAGTCTCTATCTGCTTACTGATGCTCACCGTAGTTGGAGCCAGGAAAAAAATTAAGATTCTCATTTCGGAATTTGAAGTAATGAGTTAAAATGCAAATACTTGCAAGGCATTTTTGCAAGTATTTCGCGTTTGAATACATCAGTGTGGAACAATTCATGATAAAGTAAGGAGTCAATCATTAAAACAAAAAAGTGTCCTCAAATCTCTCCCAGTTCAAACTGGGAGAAAGAGCATGATGCTGACATGAGAAATAATAAAAGGAGGTGGGATGGTGATTGAGCAGTTGAGCTCTGACCACAGAGAACTGAATTTGCTGCACGGTCCAGTCTTAAGTAGTTCTATGGTCTTGAGAAAATTATTTAACTTTATAAAGATAGTAATAGTGACATCACAGGCCTGCGGAGACTAGTGGGAAAGGGGAAACAAAAAGTAGACATGGGATTTAAGTTCAAGGAGGAACCAGAATCTCAGAGAGGTATTAATGCAAGAGAGTGGTCAAACTGTGAAGAGAAGAGATAACTGATAAATCAATGTCCCTAAAGTGAAAAGACTAGAACATAAAAGAATTTAAAAACTAAAATAAAAAAATAAAAAGTTAAAATTAAAAAAATTTAAAAATGACTGGAACACAGAAAAATGAGCCACTTCCAAGTTCACCCATGTTGTTGGCAAAATTTAGTTCTGTGAACGTGGGACGCTGTTTTTTCCCCAGCTGTGGGCCCCGGGTTGTTCTGACTTCTAAACGTCATCCACACTCCTTGGCTCATGGACTCCTCTGTCTCTGAAGCTGGCAACGCCACAATGAATCTTTCCCCTAGTTTTTAATCCCTCTAACTTCCCTATCTCCCAATGGACAGAAAATTGTACCTGCTTTTAATGGCTCCTGTAATTATATTAGGCACATCCAGATAATCTCTTTATCTTAAGATCGACTATGCAATTTAATATAACATAATCATGGAAGTGAGATCATATTCACAGGTTCCAGGAATTAGAGTGAGGTATCTTTGGGAGGTCACTCTATTGACCACACTAAAAAAGACAAAAACTGATAGAATCAAATCTTGACTGTAAGGATACTGATGCCCATCTAACTAAAAAGGGAGAAGGTTTAAATATAGTGATTAACTTTTAGGACAACTAACACAGCCCCCTGACCATGAGTTAAGAGACTTCTATGCATCCCTGAAGATAAAAGTCGTATTTTCAACATGAAGCTCTAGCAGGTAAAATGTCTGATTTAAAATACAATACTATCATGTCTTCCTAAAGTCAGTTTAAACAGTGAAGATATTTATTTTTCTCACACAGCAGAAAAGCTGGAGATTGGGAGGCTCAGGAAGAGTCCTTCACAGCTCAGGCTCTGCTGTTCTCAATTCTGCAGGTTTTACCTCCCTCTCCCCATCACATCAACTCATGACAACGGTGACAGTCATAGACTATGTTGGTCAAGTTTGGAATTTCTTTGGCAATACAGATACTAAAAACTAGGTTATGTCCATTTGTTTTTGGTTAATTGCTTGGCTAGTAGCCACAGTCCAAGGTTTTGTCTAGACATTGCCTCTGAGTCTGAAAATGTCAGTGTCTTAACCACCACCTCATATCCTAGCCGTTCCCAGGGGCCCTCAGTGGAAAAGCCTTTATCTTGAAGGAACTCAAAACAATAGACTTGAGGCTTCTTTGGCCAGAAATGCTTAAGTTAGAAGTACTTGAAAGGGGCCTGAGAAATGTTTGTTTTTTTCTTCCTATTTATTTCTGCTAAGTTTCCTACCTCCCTCTCTTGCTTGGACTTCAGCATGGATAGATGATTTGATTTTTCCAACTCTAAAAGACTCCAAATTATCATATTCAAAAATTTGGACTACAGATTACAGATTTTCAGCCTCCCCACACCAAGAAAACCTTGCTCTTTGCTTTTACATAGACTGCCTTGAACTCATCCTGTCTCTGTTAGGACCTTTCTGAAGGCTGCGGTAAGTACACAACATACTCCAGTGTCCTAAAGCCTTCCTGCTGGTCACTTAATACCACATTCTGAGGCATGGCATCAGTGCCCCGAGGCATACTTCCTGATGGCTGACCCAACTACTTCCTATAACAGCACAGTAAGGTTTGCCAACTTTCCCTTTAGAAATGTATGATCCTTTCAGTGGCCACTCCAGTTCTCCATTTAGCCAATCTTATATTTAGGTTCTTTTACTGATAGCTCCTTACTCCTAGCATGGATGTTTCCCATCAGCTTGAATTTTCTCTACCGAGAATAAGAGGCAACTAGAAGTTGCCTATAACTGCTGGATAATTTACTATCGCCCCAGGCAGAACTGCTCCAGACACTGGTGTGTCAAAGCTCTAGGTTCCCCTCCCTGCATTTCTCTCAGCAACGCCCTCCTCCCAACGAGGCTTCACTCTCAGGACCTCAGCAAGGCAGCTTCAGCCACTCCAGGCGTTGCCGCCAAACACAGCCAGATGCAGAGAAGGAAAAAAACTCTCATCTTGTGCATCTTTTAGAGGAGCAAATGTTTACCTGAAGTTACCCAACAGACTTGACAGGTCATCATTATTGATCAGAACACGATTGTGTGCCTAGTGATTGGTCCCCATTAATTTTTTAATGGAATGGAATGGATCGGGGTGGGGAGGTAACCAAGACCAGTACAGGAGCCTACTGACATTTCTACATAAGTTTTGCTGGTACTATTCAGGAGCAGAAATGGAAAAATTGGAGAGTTGGGTTGATTGTAAATTGAAGGTCAGTAAAATGCATGAGGTGGAAGGAAGGAATTGAAGATGCCAGTGAGCATCAGAGTAGGTTTTCATGAAGTCCAGTCTGACAGGAAAAAAAAAAACAAACTGATTCCAGGAAATAGCTGATCAACCAAAGGAATGTGGGGAGATCAAAATCAGATGGTAATGGTTAAAAAAGGAAAGCAGAAAAAAAGAAATGTGTCAGACCAGAGACTGAAATTTTAGAACAAAATACAGGGTCCAGCACAAATAACGTCCCTTTATTATAAAATCTTTTATTACAAAATCATAAGCATATAATTCTGTAACATAACAATATCACACTCAAGCATACCATATAACACTTTAGGTGAAATGTTCTAATTAAAACTATAAATTATTACACCCATATTATTAACCTACCAGACACACTCAAGCAGGCATTACTTCTGCCAAACCCTGTATTTGACCATTAGAGAAATTACAAATGATAGCAAAGTTTAGTCACAGAACTTAGCTGCTGAGTGGTTTGAAGGTAAAATAGGAAATTAGTGAAGTAGGAAGATACTGAATTCAATGGTTTGCTGACTTGAACTTGGAGGTCACCACAGGTAATGGCAAAAATTACACATAATGAAACAGGATGAAGTGAAGCCAGGTGCAAAAATCCGTTAAGAAATATGGAGGCATAACGGAAAAATAAGTAGCAGTCACAAACGGTGGGAAGAGAATGTTCCAACCCAGCAAACCCAGCTTCCAAAGGACAGCTGTAAGGAAAAATTATGGAAGGATTGAAGATGGCTGGTGAAGGCAGAAGAATGATACTGTCTGAGACTATGGCAGATACAGGAAGAGGAACCAACTCCTCAAAGGCCTGACGATTAGGTACACATAGATTTCTTGAATGATCTAAAAAGTGGACAAGGAAATTTTAAAAAGAAAAATAAGGGGGTTTTTTGCATGTGAGGGAACGTGCAGACAGATTGCTGGATTATACTAATTCAGGGTAGAACAAAACGTAGGTTTACAGTAGTATGTGAAAGTTTATTCTTATATTACTATGTATTAATTATTGTATTATTTTCCACAAGAACAACTGTAAACCTACTTCTGACCCACCTTGTATACCAGTGATCTAGCCTTTCTTAATTGCATTTGGTAGGACTGCATACATATTAAAGAAGTATGCACTTTAGCACTGATCCTTCTCACTTTTTAACCATTAAAGATTCAAATTTTATGAGTTGTTACTACATAGAAGGGGGGACCCAAAAAAATTGGAATTATCTTCTAGAGGGTGGGTCCCACATAGTGCAGGCTTCCCCGACTAGATAAGTATTCTAGGAACCCATCTGTGTCAGTGGACCAGCTGGCGTTGCTGTGAAAGGCTGCTTTTGGCTTCAGTGAATTTGTTTTGAAGACTCTTTCAGTGCTTTTCCCCATTTCATGATGGGGCATTTACGAGCGCACCTGCCCACACCACAGTTAATGGACAGCAGTTTTTGACCAAAAATGGCATGACTCCCCCGCCCCACTCTCCCCATTCACCCAATCTCATCCTGAGTGACTTTTTTCTTTGTTTCCGCAGATGAAAAAAGTCCTCAAAGGGAAATGTTTTGCCAATGTGGAAGACAGGAAACAAAAAAAGGCAGAAGCACTGAAAGGCATCAAAATCAACAAGTTCAAACACTGTTTTGTGTAGTGGAGAAAATGTCTCGATTAGGTGTACTGCATCAAATGGGGAGTATTTTGAAGGTGACTGAAGTTGAAACATGCCAGAATAAATACACAACTTTTTAAAAATAAATTCAGGGTATTTTGGGGTCCCCCCTCATATAGCTCTTTACCTTTTTAAAAATGAAGGCAATACACAAAAGGAAAAGATGACAATTTAAGATCCTTGAAATCAAAGACTATCAAGCAAAAAGCTCAGTACATGGGCAAACCAAGTATGTGTCGATTCAGAAAACACACACACACACACACACACACATACACACAACCTAAGAGGTGTTCTCATTATCCAGGTTAAAAAAGAAATACGAATTTGGAAACATTTAAAAAAGCATACATTATGAATAGAATCAAATTGTTTTGTCCCTTATGATTTTCAAATATACATAAAAAGCCAATGACTTCAGACAGCACTTTAAAAGAAAACCAAAGGTTTCACTCTTCTTTTTGACTGAGAAATATTCCATTGTATATATTGTATCCCTGAAATTAATATAATACTGTGTCAACTACAATTTTAAAATAAATTAAAAAAATAAAAACAAAAACATCATTTATGAGTAGATTGTTTGTATCTATAAAATTTTAGGTCTTCCAATATGCATTAAAGTACAAATGCATAAAAGCAATATCATTAAAGTTTATCAGGGAATCATCTTTTAAGGAAAGTTACATTCTGATTTGTTTTTTTCTGCAATGATATGTCATTTGTTTGATACTCCATATCCTTTTCAGTAATTAAGTAGTTTTTTAATATGATATATATCTGGTAATCTACCAAGATTTCAAAAATGTAAAAAGCAAAAACAGTAAATAAATCAAAGGAATTTTTAAGAAAATAAAAGCCTTTAGCCTTTTTAAACTGGAAAGCCTTAAAGCAGAAAATAAATTATTCTGGAATAAGAAATGGAAGTAAGCAAAGAACTATTTTAAAAATGCAAAGATTATGTCTTTTGACCATATAAATAAATGACTGAACAAGGCTACTTATTAAGCAATTAATTTATTCTTTAAACCATAATGTATCTTATTTGTAAACCAGTATCATTTTTATTTTAATATACACTTCCAAATATACCCTGGAGGCACTTTTGAAAATAATTAGTCCTAAAAAAAACAAAAAGGAGTAGGCTGTGTTACGACTGCCTTAAAGGGGCTTTGGAGTTTTATTAAGAATTAAATACTCATTAGAGGTATTATTCAGTAAGACGTTTAAAAAAAAAAAAAAGCATTTTTCTCCAAAATTATTTACAATGTATTTCCACATCACATATTTACTGGACACTTGAATTTGCAATGAAATATCTGTTACCCTTTCTTCCTTGATTAACCATTGCTCTAACTGCAACATGCTGCATTAATTTTAAGGCTTTTAAAGTGGAAATTACAATGCCTGCTGTGATAATTGTGATACTACCCTAACTACGGCAATCACTTTAAAAGTACTTCTTTGCTTATCATTAGCATTGCTAAGTAATAAAAATAATTATATCAGGGGTATTCTGGGAAATGATTGTTTAACAATTTTTAGTATTCTGAAAAGATCAAGCTAGAAAACCCTCAGCACCGCAGACTAGGATACTGTCTGATGGCATGGGGCCTTCTAAATGTCCTCTAATTAAGTAAAACTCCCAGATGGTTCTCACTCAATCACTCCCTCAACTACTCTTCTTCCTGGCTCTACCTCCCATACAGGCAAGCTCACCGAACCAGTTGCCAGACCAGGCTGACAACAGAATAATCAAGGAGAAAGCAATGTCCTGGGATGAAATCAGTTCAGATTCAAGTCTGAAAGCTTTCAAACTGCTCTACCTCTGGGCAACAGTGCCCCAGGCTGAGTCGGATGGGTGAAATGGAAAAGCAGGCACTCCATAGAGAGGGTAAAGTGATCACTTCCCCCATCTTCCATCCGTCCAAGAAACTTCCATGTGAAGAGTAAAGCATCTCCTTCACGATGCTCACTTGAAGTAAGGTCCTATCACTCATGTGCTGACAATTGATTTTATAAATATAATTGCCTTAGATTTTATTTTCTCTTGAAAGAAAGTCAACTTATCCAAATGATTATTCTTCTGGAATGTTCAGAGTTCTTGACAAGTGACAAATGACAAAGCAGAAATGATAAACCAAGAATAAGCATGGATAAAAATCAATCATGACTTTCCTTCTTATTATCTTATAAACATCTGGGTTTAATTCAACCCGAAGATATAGTGGAGAATCAACATAGGAGCATAAAATCCATTTAAAGTAACTGATTATACAAGAGAAAGCTGATGTGAATGCATACACAGATCAGGGTAATGCTTTTTGTTGCCATCAAGAGGGTACAAAAGCAGAGTCTTAAAGATGCTTGTGATCTGATAATACTGCTCATTCAGTCAGATTATCAGTGCCGCCTATTTAACTAAACCCACTACAGTGGCTGCTAGAAAATGATCCAATGGGAACTTCTGCATCTTTAAATGCTCCTAACAAATACTTAAGTTGAAATATACAAATAAATGATATTCTAAAATAAAAGCTACATGGTTGTTAAGAAAGATCTTGTGATTTTTCTTACACTTAAATACTAAAGAGTAATTTCAATTTAGGGAACTGAAAACTGAACTGGGATAAGGGGTTAGGTCTATTTTAAGGGCCAACTCTGAAAAGCCACAGAAACAGACTTTGACACAGGATTTAAAAAGATTTTTAAGAATTCAATTACTCTTTACCTTGAAAGAGTCAAGACATAAACACTCTTCTGTCAAGGGCATCTTGCCAGATTATACATGGCACACAAGTGTTTGTTCATAGGACTGACGAATGAGTGGTTGGTCACAGCAAAAATCATTCCTTAGGAATCTGGCTTTTATACCTGATTATTCTTGTCTGTCAGTTGATCAAAACTTTCAGCTTGTTTCTCCAATGCCCGCTCCAACTTCTTATGCTTAAGCTTCCACTGCCGAATGGACTCCTGAGCTTTCAGTTTCAACTCTTCCCTCCTCTTCTCCGCCTCCTGTCTCAGGGTCTCTGACTGCTGGAACTCGAGGAGGTACTGCTCGGCCTGCTTGGTTGCATCCTCAGCGTGCTGAGTCAGCTCCGAGATCTGGAGGTCAGCATGCTTTCGCTTGGCATCACATGTCTCAAAGTGCTTCTGGATCTCCTGAAGTTGATCTAACATCTGCAATTGGTGTTTTTCCTTGTTGTCCAATTCACGTGTTAAATCCTAGGAATAAAGCAGGTGAAATATTAGGAACATACTCTTGTCAAAACTGGATGCATAATACAACAAACAACCATCTCTAATATCACTGAAATGTGATCATCTGTATTAAATTTCATTAACAACCAATCTAAAAAATATGACCCCTTTTCTGTGTATTTTATAATCACATTAGTTGAGAATAATGTTTTATAAAAATATTTTTTTCCTACCACTTCATTACCCAAAAATGGAAAGTAAGTATTTTCCAATTGGCCATCAACAAAATAGATGGGCCTTGTTGATGAGAACAACAATGTGCATTACTTTAATAAGACAGCATTTTGTCCAACTACAGAAGTATCAGAGTTCTAAAATTTGTCAGATTACCATAGCAATTATGTAATATTTCACTTCCTAAAATTTGGTTAAAATAAAAATCCATGACAAAGAAAATGAGCATTGATGACAAAAGCATCAGTATAAGTAACACTATTTGTGAAAGTCCATTTAAAAGGCTCTCAATAAGGATCTTCCAGCTAAATCAACATAATGTTATATGTAGATGAACTTATCTCAAGCTTACATGATTCACTATAGAAAAGATTTTTAAATAAACTTAAATTTATTTTAAATACTTATCTAATCCAGAAAACAACCTGAACTCTCAAAATCTAGCTTCCCTAAAGCAGAGCTGGTCAATAATACATTTCAAAATTACACTAAATCATCATGATTCATACATACTTTTAATCTGAGTAGAATGGGTGCAGATCTACTTTTAATTTCAAAAATGAGAGTACATTGTTTTTACATAGCATTTTATACAAATAAAATAATATTGCAATCATTAACATTACGTCACTACTATAAAGCCTTGGAAGGGAGTGACGAATTCAGAAATAAGCATTTACAATGTGACCCATAACTGCCTTTCCTGCGCCTTAGTTTCCAAATACTTGGGGTGACAAAGTTAACATGACAAGGTTATGTGCCCAAACAAGATTGGGTTCAGGAGGCTAGGATGCTGCTGTGAGCTAAACAAATAATAAATATCATCTACATTGTACTAAGACACCTACAAATGGAGGCTGGAAGCGTTTACCAACTCCCTTGGGCTCTAACAGCACATTGTTCAGTTCCAGAGTCCATTATTCCTGAACTATGGCTTAAATACAGTCAAATCCAATTTCTCTCTTGATTAATGTTATGGTTCAACATTACGACAAAAATACAGAAATAATGCCTCGAAAACAAGCTTCATTTTCTTAGCAACAGGTTTGCATGTGCTCAGTTTGCTAAATTCAATGCAGCCTGGAAGACATGAGTCACTCCTCTATCTATGCAGAGAAAACAATAAATTGAGAACTGTGCACTTGTTTATGTGGAAAATTCTAAAATGGGACCAGAAAACCCTTATCTAATACCACAATGTTATAAATCAACTTTATTAACAAGCAGTAACCAACAGAGGTACCCATTTTATTTTTTTTCCAACACACACTTGGAGAGTGGTTACATTTCCTCTGTATTAGGCACATAGTTTACAGAAAGGTTAATAAGACCTGGCTTCAACACCAAAGAAGCTAATAATCTAAATGGGGAGATCATCACACTAACAGCTCAATTACAACATGGATAGTGCCAGGTACTAAAACGTGAGAGTCAGCCAAAAGGGTCTATGCTCTGTAGTGTGGCTGCAGAGGGTTTCTCTTTGCAGGTGACATATGAGCTGAGATTTCAATGAAAAGGAGTTAATAGTAATAATAACAAAAATTACAACTACTACTGATGTTTATTGGGCACTTGAGTTGTGCAAGGAATTGTGTAAATGCCTTATATGAATTACGTCTTTCAATCCCTCCGCAAAAGTAAAGCAAGGCACACCAGCATGGACAAGAGCCAGGCGGGCCATCGGAGACTGGGGAGAGTTGTACTTCAAAGGGGCTAAAAAGACACTGGACAGTCAGGTCAGAAATCAGGCTGGGGGATGCTGAAATCCACTTTAAGCTTTCAGAGGTTTTTCAGCACAGGAATAACATGATCAGATCCATGCTCGAGAAAGATTAATCACCAAAGGACATTATGCTAACACTAGGATATTAAAATATTATGGTAACATTAAAAATAATTGATAATCATCCTTTTAAAGCAGGAATGGACTTTCAGAACCAATTCTTCTCTTATCTGAATTCATTTTCAGCAATCAAATTCAATGAAGCTGGCTTATAATAGATAAGAACCAAAGAGACTAGGAAAGAAAAAGAAGAGAGAAAAACCCTTGTCAGTCTTTCTGAAGAAAATACAGGTATGCTTGTATTGAGTCCCATAAACACTTCCTGCACTGAGAAACATGCAAGCCGCTGAGACACGGAGGTGCGTGGACAGCGTGGTTCTACACTCTGCTGCTTCAGAGAACCACACAGCCTAGTTAGGGAGACAGACGCATAACAATTATTTTGAATAAACATGATTTATACAAGCAATTCTTTCTTCTGTATCTCAAATTTTGCCTCTCTTCCCAATTTATATGGCCTAATCTATACCTTCATTTCTTTCCTCAGTGTTTTTATCTGATTATATAATTTTTCTAACACTGATTCTTTGTCCAAAAACAAAGAGCCCTGAGCTAACACCATTAGGTGGTGCTTAAGGAGCAAAATGAAGATATTGATAATTCAACAGCTGCTGCTGAAAGCAATAGAGAGAAAGAAGGGGGGGCAGGGAAGAGAGGGACAAACAGAGATCGAATATGAATACCCATGCCAGCCAATCCCAGAACTCAAACAACCCACACCATTAAGGCAAGAGTGTGGCTAGCACTCCTGCCCTCTAATGCCCTCCAATGCCTTCTTCCTTGATTAAAGTGCCCTTAACATTGGTGTTGGGAGGAAAAGGGATTAAGAATAGGGAAGAGGAAAAAAGGAACAAGAGAATCTCTTAATAAGCAAGACACTTCACCTAAGCATTAACAAACAAAGCCTTTTGCACAGTGTGCGGGAATGCAGACTGGTGCAGCTACTGTGGAAAGCAGTATGGAAACACCTCAAAAAATTAAAAATGGATCTGCCTTTTGACCCAGCAATCTCACCTCTGGGAATATATCTGAAGAAACCCAAAACACTAATTCGAAAGAACATAAGCTCCACTATGTTCATTGCAGCATTGTTTACAGTCACCAAGATGTGGAAGCAGCCTAACTGTCCATCAGCAGATGAGTGGATAAAACAACTGAGACATTTACACAATGGAATACTACCTTGGCTGTTAAAAAAAAAAAAAAAGTTACCCTTTGCAACAACATGGATGAACATGGAGAACATTATGCTAAGTGAAATAAGCCAACTAGAGAAAGACAAATACCATATGGTTTCACTCATACACGGAATCTAATGAACAAAATGGCAAACAAGCAAAACAGAGACAGACTCACAGACGGAGAGCAGAATGACAGCTCTTGGGGTGGGATAGAGGGCAGGTTAGGGGGTGGAGGGATCAAGGAAAAAGAAAAAAAGACTCATGAACACAGACAACAATGTGGTAACTGCAGAGGGGAGAGGGGTAAGGTGGTAAAGGGTATTTCTTTTTAAAGAAAAAAAATTTTTTAAATCCCAAATTAGGGCCAAGCCAAATGGAAATACAATCATTTGTAAAGCCTCTATTTGCTAACGAAAAATTAATGAAGAAGCCACTTGTTTAATGTTCCCAAACAGTTTAATAATATCTGAGAAAGCCCCCCTTCTAAGTTCTAGGGGGAAAATTAACTACACTTTTATTTTAATACTTATAATAGCTAGCCTGTAATTTTTAGATACATTGAATGTATGATACAATAGTTGTAGATACACATACATGAATACACATGCACACTTTTTAGTATACTAAAGTAAACATGTTTACTGAAAATTTTTGTGGGTGTTTGTATTATACTAATTTTACTGAAAACAAAGAATTTTAAATTTTAATTATAGAGATTGAGTTTTTATATCTTGGCATTGATGACAAGTTCATTTTAAGCATAAGTGTTTTGGTGAAAACTCCTCAGTTACAAATACAATTCTTAATTACGATATTTCTCATATAAAAACACACAAACCACACACACACACACACACACACACACACACACACAACCCATACAAACTACAACAGAATTAGGCAGACACGAGCAAAGCAAGGACCACAGGCCAGGCATAGGTCACCAGAGTGGAAAGCCCCGGGTGCCTAGCAACAGGCTAAACTGGGAAAACACAGACCTAGCCCCTAGGGTAACCTTTCCACCCCCAGCATGTCACTGGTCCTGTGGTTTAGACCCCCTGACCTTTCATATCGCTGGTCCTGTGGTCCAGACCCTCCCCTGGCCTCTCCTACCCTGGCGCGCAGCGAGTCCTGCAGCAGACCCCTTGGAGGAGGAACAGGGGCCGAAGAGCAGCCTCCTGCAACCCCCAGTGGGCCCCTGCAGGGCCGCTCCCCTGAGCGTTAACCCCTAGAGGTAACGTCTAGGCCTCAGTTGTGTTTCAGCTCCAGGCCCAGAAAAGCTGCAAAATCAGACAAGCTCTGCCATTGCTGACGCCAGCATTGCGGACGCCAGCAGCACTAACTGACCACTTGCCCTGAGGCCAACCAGTCCGTGGAGACCACGACCCTGAAAGGGCACATCTGGAAAGCTGATGAAAATTCTATTGAGATTCTCCCCTGAGACCTCCCCTAAAAACCCCAACCCTTGCAAGCCCTTAGGGGAAGGGCCCAGGTCTCTATCTCCATGAGTTTCTGAATGAACTTCTGGTTATAGTTTGACCCGTGGCTTTGAATTCTGTTTTACCTAGAACTCAAGTACCGAGGTTGCTGAACTGGGGTCTGGTCCTGACTCCACTGGTCTAACACCTGGTGCCATTTTGCCATCAAGAGAATGATCTGTTTTACAATATAGTTTCTAGAAATTTCATACAGTAATAATTGTCTGAATGTATCAAAATGATACAGAGAAAAAAATGATGTTTAAAGCATAAGCATATAAAGTTCAG